TAGCCAGATGGATTTTTGGAGCTGGAGAGAATCTCAAATCTGAATACATTTTCATTGTTGGCTCTGAGGCAGTGAACAATGAATGTTGTTTTTGTTCCAGGTATGGTTATATCTTTTCGTCCAACGGCATCTTTTGCACCGCAACAGCGCGTACGCAGGTATGACGTATCACCTTTATGTGTGGGGTAAGCCCACACGTACTTGTTATTGAAGGTCTTGATTCGAACGTACTTTCGATCCCTGCTATTAGGCTTTGGGCAGATCTGTTCTAAAAATGCTGTAATTCAAAAATGGTAGTTTTATGTAACTTGAGACCCCGGTTAAATTTTTTATATATGGGACTCTTTGATAAGGAATACTTAAACTACTTCAGGTCAAGTCACACGCCTGTTTTTCATCAGATTTAAAGCAAAAAAGTCTTATTGCCTCCCCAGTTCCCTCCCGAAAGCGCTAGTTTTGTTATAAGAACTTTCCAACATTTTTCCTTTTTGATGGAAATCATTTAAGGTCTAGTAGATTGTCTTTCATAAGATCAAGTTCTAACTCAAATAAACGGCTTCCTTTCCTTCGAGATCAAAATATGGCACAATGGGTGTCGAGCTTATGGTTTACAACAAACAGAACCCAGCCACTCCGCTTTACTTTCAGTGATTTTGTTCTGCTTAGTAAACGAGATGCATTAATATCACATCATCATTATGTTCCTATCGAACTTAATATCAGTTACGTTATCTCAAAAGTAGCCACAAGTCGAATTAGGCATCTGCTAAAGTTCACCTGTTTCATTGTGGTTTGACACTTGTTCTCCATAACGCAGTAATCTACTGTTAACGCCTGAAAATACAATATGATCACGCTAGGAATATACATATTTTTTCTATTTACACTTAACTTGTTGGCCTTGTTTTATGACGCCGTTCTCATTTGGAAATCGTAGTGAATTTTCATCAAAAAATTTAGTGGAAAAAGGTTCTTTAATTCAGCTAAAGCAAAGTTATCACTCAACAGATACTTAACCTTTTGAGGCCTTAACGTGATTAACATGCTACTTCTCCCTATAATATCCATAAATTATCTAACACACATGTTATGAGAATACTCAAACTTATCAGATAGAAGTTATATTGATCTAACACCAAACTCTCGTTACTAATTCATTCGGAAATTTGCAACATCTAAACGGGAGAATTAACAATTAGATCTTGGGAATTTAAGGGATTACGTTCATTACCTGAGTAGCCTAATACAAAGACCACCAGAAGCAAGAGAGGCAGTGAGTTCATTGTCCACGCTCAGCGTCCGCCCTCGATTCACCTCTGGACAATTCTTTATGTTGAGAAGACAGCGACAAGCTACAGAAATCTGCTAAAGTAGACAAAGTGGTCCACAATGTGTCTTGTATCACAGCAGAATCTTGCCAGATCAAAATCAGTAACATATAAATTTCTGCCAACTCGAAGCCCTTTATATTTTATTAAGTATTTGCCACATGATACCTCGAGGTTGACACTCCGAGATAGTAAGGTTTTACTTTCGAAGACAGTCGAGTCATGAACAAAGGTAAGTTTCTAAATAAACTGTGGTGCTGCGTCGGTGAGGAAGTATGACAAGGTAATTTGGTTTTATCAACTGAGTTGATAACTAAGCTGATGTTTCGAGCGTTAGCCCTTCGTCTGTAGCTCTGACAGCGTCAGATAATACCATAGTTACAAATAAAGGATTTCTGCCAATTCGAAAGACTGCGGAATCCTCACGCATTGCTTATATTGATAAAGAAGACAGTAGTTCCAAGCCATTGCCAAAACAACATTCGATCGACTTCTTTATGAAGGTTTATTGATTCTTATTTCACCGTTTTTGCAGTATTTTCAGATTCTGGTGTTTTATTTTCTGTTTCACGTTCTTATGTATCTTGGTTTTAAAAGCTTTAAAATCAAATTCGAAGGCAGACATCTTTTTGTAAAGGATTTCATTTCCCAAGGCACTTTTTGTCGGGAAAGTAAAACTGAATCCACTTTCTTGACATATCACTACCGTCAGTTAAATTCTGATAATAATATGTATAAAAAAGCAACGGGTTTATCTGGTCAAACTGAATCAGAGCATGTTAAATGCTTTAAGCTCTACGTAATGGATGGTTACCAGTCTCTCTCAGTCTTCCGATCGTTCAGATGGCAAACAAGGGGGCGATAAGACCTGTCCAGTTATGTTACCCTCTTTGTTGATTTGCGCTCTAAGTATCAACCAGTCTGTTTACTGTTCTTTACTTACTTTACTGCTTTATTTTATTTCTAGTTCGCTTAAAGAATTCAGCTCTAGGAAAACGTTCTTTTTAAAACAAGGAGAAAATTAGCACCATGGAAACTCCTCTGTACTTTCCCTTGTAATCGATTTTTTTATAGATCTAACTTATTTTCTGTAAGTACGAAGTCGATTGAAAGTGGTGTGAGCATCTGTAGATTCTAAAAATTCGAAACAACCCGCGTTATTAGACTCAGGGTAATAATAAACCTCATTCCCTAAATCTTAAGATATCTGATCTACCGGTAAATCATTTTTTTAAGTACTAAGTAGATTGAAAGTGGTGCTCGCTTCTGTAAGAGTCTAACAGTTCCAAACAACACACGCTGTAAGACACAAGATGATAAACCTATTCCTTTCAGAACTTTGGGAGACGTTATGGCCTGTGGTTGAGGTAAGCGGGCTGAACTTCACGTCGATAAGCCTGGATTCAAGCCGCTCAAAGTTTTAATTTAGCTTCAAAGCTCTGCGAAAGGAATTTTCCTTTTTTAATTTTCCCCCCGTTAGTTTTGAGTCGTATTGAGAAGACGCAAAAAATCCTAGCTCTTATACACGCTCTTCGACATGAGAAATTAAAGCCAAGCTTAACTTTTAATCCTAAATTGGCGTTAATCCCTTTCCGAACAACTGAGTCTAGGATTATAGCAGGATAAATTAGCATTATCAACTGAGTTGATAACGTAAATTGGCCACTGTAAAGAGTTTCAAAGCTAAGGAGTATAAATGTGTTCTGACAAATCCCAGGTAGCGCAACAAAATGCTGTGGAGTAAACAACAATGAACAAGTATCTAGTCCAAAAGTGATACTCCCAGTCGTTTCACGCCACAGAAAGTGGGATAAGCTACGGCGATATAAGCCACTTAGCTAGAGAGCAGACTTCTATGAGATATAAGGCACATTTTATGAAATACACGATACGAGTTGCGAGGCTGGCACTGCGGTAAAAGGTATCGTTTGATAGACCTCAAATTCAACCAGTAGTACTCATCTTTTCCGGCTCCAAAAGACAGAAAGTACTAACAAATTACAATACTTGTTCCAAGTTTTCATGTGTTCTTACCTGGAAGAAAGCTTTTTCACTTATCGCTCAATGTCAAGCCTTTTTTCTTGTCTGTTATACCTGACAATGGTCTTGACTATGATATTTATCTTGTGAAGGTTCTTCTTCTATTCTAAAACTGCTACATTGTAAAGTTTATTTTCCGCACAAGCTGGCAAAACACACAAACCATGGTCACTGTGGCGTCAATTTATTGAATTATTTACCATATACACGTTACTTAATCGAGGTAAACAGGCAGCCGAAACTCTTATGATACAAAAGAATCAAATCGCTACACCCATGTGTCACTAAAAATATTTCATCCGTCAGTAAAGATAGACGCCTTAAGTTAAATGAATACTTTTTACTTCTTCCCAGTAAGGGGAAATTATTTCTTTTCACTTAATTATTGTAGCATCCTTTCTGTTATAACCCATTTTCCCATCAATGCTGATAATTTGTCAATGAACAAAGAAGGGACCGGTAGTAGCTGGTTTTATTTAAACTTGGGATTCAGTTAATGTTTGATTTAATTTGTCTCTCTTTGCTGGTTGTGTTAACTCAGTTCAGATTTTTCTCTTGCAAGATAATAGATAAACGAAAAATCTTTCCATACTGAAAAGCTTCAGAAAATTCTATAAACAAATTGACAATTCACCTATAATGCAGCTTTTCGTCTTTTTAACGTTTTGTCCTGTGTAGATGCAGGATGGGCAACTCTACACACAGTATCTAAATAAATTTTTTTTCGCCCAAGAAATAGAAGAACCACCGTATAGACTTCACTTCACTGGGTATGAATGTACGGTGGAAAAAAAATCGATTTTATTTTTTAGGCGCAATGCAATGTAGTTGATCGTAAAATATTCGACGGGTGTAACCGTATTTGATCCCTAGTAGAGGTCACAACATACAGATTAATAATGCAACACTAACAAATTAGTCTGTTTGCTTTGCATGAAATAATTTATCTCACGTTACAAAAAGTATCCAAAACCAGTCCACAGCATCGGTGGAACTGTCAATAGAGGAAGACGGTCGCTGCGGTAAGTTTTCGACTACAAGGCTTCTTTATCAATTATGATTATTTTAATTGATACCTGAGTACGCTTAAGATGAATGTTCCATTGCTGTGCAGTCTCTCTCATTTACGTATCTGTGAACTTAGTAAGACTCTTTTCAAGCGGCAGAAATGTTGTTTGGGTTAAAAATTCCATATAAACTTTTTCCACGAAATCACAAACTTTACTGTGTGGGTTCCTTGAATTGACGCATCTGGGTCTTCCTGTCATTCAGTATTCCCCTTTAACTGATTTTTGATTCTCCCAACTGTTCGACTGTCCGCATTCAGTGGTCGTGATCGCCTTCACTGACCTACACCTACAGTTTTTACCGGTGTTAAACAGTCACTTGGTACCGGAAAAAAATTTACATACCAGGAAAACAAAAACATTCGAAGTATATGTAAAAGAATTGTTTGAACAAATATAAACGCACCTCGAATATTTCAGTGTAAAAGTGTAACTATTTATAATTCGAGATAAAAAAAAGTCCCACGAGTTGCTTTTCATGGCAAAAATAAATAAATCTGTTTATAAAAACGCTTGTATTTATGGTTGATTTTACTCCTCGATGAATCAGTCCCACGCAGCTTTGATGAAGGTAATTCCGGGGCATTATTTTCACATAATGCTTACGGGCATTACGGTACCTACAAAATAGAACTTAACACTAATTCAGTTCAAACCATTGCTTTGTGAACAAAACTGCAATAGTTCAAGCTTTCAATCCAATGAATCTAGACGTTTCTGGACAAAGGGATGTCTTAGTTTCAGACTTTATCGAGTCTAGTGATACTCCATGGAACGAGAAACATACAGTGCCCCGCTAAAAACCGAAAAGACCGAGGAGGTGTCATTTGGACATCCCGATTCCTTACTACCGAGGAATAATTGAACTCCTTGATTGATAATCCAGATTGACAGACATCACATGATAATTGTTTTTTTATTTGTCTTTTAGAAAATGATAGCCACCGTTTGAGTTTATAAATTTTCATACTTTTGTTTATGATCAGGTGATTGGAATCAGATGTTTGTCAAAGTTCACGTTCTTGAAGAATCTAAGCGATGAAGAAGTCTGTTTCATTCGTTGCTGTGGTCGCGCTCTTAGCTCTAGCCAGTACTGTAAATGCACAGCTTAACGATGACGAAGTACTATCGTCTTTGGTAGATGTTTACGGAGGCACAGCCGGGGCGGATCCAGCTTCCCAAACTTACTTCATGTCCCATGGCGGGAAGAAAATGTTCGAACAGGCTTCTATGCTCGAAGCTATGGCTTTGGCTAAAGCAGGCAAAGCTAACATGGCCAGCAAGACTCTTGCTTCTTTAGCGCTTCAATGCTTTCTTGCTGAGCTGCCTCAAGAATGGCGGGCTGTTGGAGATCTTTTAAATGTCATGGAGTCGAACAGATTATTCTTCAAAAAAACTCTAACTTCCGCGCGACAGAGTCAAGAAGCCATGAGACAAGCCATCAAGGCGAAGCTGACGGCGTTTCAGAGGTCTGGCTCAAAGACAAGTGCTGCTAAAGAAAAACTTCAGAATGATGTCAAAGCCTTAATGGCTGATCAAGGTTCGGTGATTGGTTTATATTAAATAATTCAAGTTATTCCTTAGCGTTGAGTAGTGTATCTATATATTAGAGACATGATGTTCATGGCTGGAGCTCCGTAAAGATAAATTTATAAAATAATTGAGGCGTCGTGATTGCAGATGCTCAAAACCAATCGTTTCTTGCACCGCCAAACCATAATTATTTCATAAAAGCAATAGAACACATCCGGCTCGTGATTTACAAACTTTTCTCGTGTTTTACCCACATCCCGCGTGGACTATTACGCTGGTAAACCGATAGAAAGTTCAGTCTACTGCTTTATCACATACTGGGAAAAATCTGAAATGTTGATTGGCTGATACATGGGGCATTTTCGTTAATCACGAGGGCACTTTTGGTGATTACTTGACCCTGATTGGTCAATAGCTGCTTAACAACGAGGTGTTGTTGTTGAGATTCGCTGATCATTTTCTTTTATCAGTGGCTGCCCCACTGTTCAGGAATTAGGCGAATCAAAACACAGTGTATAACCGTGAGTGTATAACTTAGCTCTTAATATAAATCTTCATATTCTCTTAAACACGGAAGACATAATGGCATAAGGATCGACACCCGGTAATCTGGATCAGAAGGTATGGGATCGAGCCCCCATTACAGTCCCCATTAGATTCCCTAATTTGCTCTTGTAGGAAAGACACGATTTTCCTCTCTTCAGAAAGAGGAAAGAATCAATACCAGCGAACTGTCAGGAAAATCTAATTACTTTCTTGGAAGGTGGGAGGTGGGAGGTGGGTAGCCTGCCTTGAACTAGAGGAGCTCCCATACTCATTTCGTTACAACTACGGACACTGGATAAGCCTCAATGGAGTATCCTGCTTAACTCATAATATTGACCTTTTCTCTTAAATGAAAGTGACTTTTTTTAAAATATAACTTCTGCATTTAACGCCAAATGGATTTTTGTTTTCTATCCAGATACTGCCAGAGAAGCCATTTTTAATGCTTGGAAAGCGGATTTTGCCAAACTCAAACAGCTTGCCAATAGAAACAGACCATCTCCCAAGGAGGTTAAAGCTTGGCACGTGTATGGAAAAGTGAGATACTTTGTGAGAAGGCTAGACTTTCCACCACAGCTGGCAAACGTCCGTCCGTTCACAGACATTCTTGGGATCGTTATTAGCGGCATGGGACTCCACGATGCAATTAAAAACCAAAACAAAATGGGTATTGTCAACAACATACTCGGAATTGTTGGTTGCACCGTTGCCTTGGGTTTGTTTGCTGCTCAGACTGTTGCAAAACATGTAGCGAGTAAAGTACTGGCTAAGCTGGTGGGATTCATACCGGTTGTTGGTCCCATTCTTGCAATTGCCTTTTTCCTTGCACCAATTATCGTCCAGATTCTTTGGCCGAGAAGCTTAGCTATAGAAACGGCGAACAAGTTGACGGAAGTGGCGAGCCATGAATTGCAAGGCTACAGAGATCAACTAGCAAGGGCGCAAGGGTGAGTCTTTGATGTCTTTGCATGATGGTGAACATAAATAATATTGTCAAATGGTAACTATTCATATGTTAATACAGGTTCCTTATTAGTCGTGATACGACTCTTCTTTCTTATTCATGTTGTCGCTTGCATTGTGTCATTTGGTGTTTTCTTTTTCAGCTTTGGCTGGCTGTATCAGATCAACTCTGGTGTGCTGATTGAAAGCACCAAAATTCGGCCAAATACTCCAATAAAATTCTTCCAGCCATCTTGCAAAACAGGCACAGCTCCTTGCGATCCTAAGACGGCTGTCTACCAAAGTAAACGCTATCTTGTGTTAGGAGAGGAGCGACGATCTACGTACTCTGACAGCAAATTTCAGTTGGATGTTCGTTATGACTTTTTGGGAGCTCCGCTGGAACGCAAGTTCTGTGGTAATAC